AAACGGTCGTTTGCGTTACTGTTTAGTGTCATATAGACCGTTCGGCCACACGAGGACGACCGCATATGACAGTAAACAACTGCGGAAACGATAACGGGTCCCAAGGTGGATAGAACGGCATACGCAACGCTCTGGGGGATCCAATGGCTCCGTGTGTACGCCCTATATGATTCATTTTCTGATAATGATGAAGAAATAGCCCCGCCTCTCCCCACCTCTGCTGCTCACCCCGCGTCAAAGTAAACTGCACACTGAATTCAGATTATTTATCTTTCTCTCGATATGGACATACTGTAAACGCAAGTGAAGTCTAATCTGACAGGACGGAGACACGCAGCTCTGCTCACCTGCAGCTCCTCCCGCTGTGATGCAGCGGTGAACGGAGCAAAACACACACTTCAAGTCAGATCATCACCCTTAGCTATTTTAATTACCTCTCAAACTACCTAAACTAGTTATAATATATGTTTATCTTTACTGTCGGGTCACTCATTACTGGATCAGCTGCTGCTTGAGACAGACGCTATCCGAAGAGAGGGAGGAAAAAGAGAGGCTCCATTTATTATATTATTATATTATATAGATTCGTTATTGATTTGTTTTAAAGCTCAATAAATAACAAAGAAGACCTTTGACCGGCACTTTTATAATTTTGTCCGGAAGATTTAAACTTTAATACACGTTGACTGGCGAAAAACTCTGCCCGGTTCCCTCGGCCCCCACCGCGGAGAATAAACAGAAGGGCAACCATGACAACCATGCTTCTTCTCTGCTTTTGTGGAGGAAGTTACAGCGCCAAGTACAGGCTCCTGCATATGTACTGCAGCTTCTCCAGCGGTTGGAGCTAAACGGAGCTGTCTCGTGTGGACAGACACTATCCGGTGAATATTGCGTGTGGACGGAAGCTTTTTTGCGTTTGCGTTAATCCTATGCGTTTAGCCGTATGCGTCGTCGTGTGGCCGGGGCCTAAAGTTCAATAATAAAAGTAATGTGTGAATGTTTTTGTGTATAATGCGTGCCCTGTTTGTGGCACAAAACCTTTACATTTTTAAGCACTCGCAATCATATTTCCCAACTAAATAAAAAAAGACGATAACATTAATAATACAACATCTTAAAAGTCATGAAAAGTGATTTTACTTTGATAATTTAGTGACTGAGTACTACACATTATCCACAACCTTTTAATCTATTTAAAATAAATATATTTCTAAGATTTATGACCCAGTATTCACACTTCTATGAATATGGATACCTAATGGCACATTCTATGTGTCTGACGCCATAAGCCTGAATGCAATGAGTGAAAGGTGAAAATATGATTCAGTCATATCTTCAGTTGTTCATCTTCCTTCGAGACATCAGAGTTCATCATTAGGGTTATGCTCAGGGCAGAAATCAAGAAAGAGACAAACAGAGAAGCATAAAAAATAGTTTTTACTGATGTAAATTCAGATTACCTCTTCGCTTCTCTGATTCAAGGCTTCCCAGTGTTTAGCTGGTCTGAAGATACAATTTCCTCAAGCATGCTAATTAAAAAAAATCAGTCAGATACTGTAGGGCGACTGCTGCACTACAAACTAGCTTAGCCAAAAAGGAACAACATCAGAAGGAATTTATCTCATTGCTTAATCCCTTTGATCACAGGCTTCTGGAATAGTCACTAAATGTCAAAGCACGCTGCAATGTTCTTTGTTAGCCCACACAGAAATACCATAATGGCATGTGACTACAGTATGTACTACAAGTTAAGGACAGTTTTTATGAAAAACATTCTACATAATTAAAACAAATGAAATATTTTGCCTTTATTTCCATGTGTATCCACATGTTAAGGGGTGTGCCAGCATCCAGGGCTATAGGAATAAGCTCATTTAAAATGTTGATAATTTTTTATATAAATAATAGTCGCGTTCACACCGCACTACTTTTCCCACTTTAGTTCCGCGATAGTTCAGAAATGTCGCGTTCACACCAAAAAGAGCTGTGACTAAAATTAGTTCATCAGAACCTTTTTTAGACTGCCAAGGCACAC